TGAGGCTGCATAGCAAGGTGGGGAGCACATGATGGAGCAAAGCCATTTACTTCCTGGCCATGGAGTAAAAGAGAGAAAATGAAACTGGGGTCCCATTAGCTCCTTTCAGAGGATGCCCCCAGTGACCTACAACCTCTCACTAGGCCCCACCTCTTGAAAGTTCCATCACCTCCCAAGAGCATCAAGAGATGGGGACCAAGCCTAAACCATACCAGAAAGCTTTTTTCTGTTCAAAGGTGTGAACACATCTGAGATAATAAGTTCAAAATATGTGAGAAAGAGGAAAGGAAGCAGAGCTCTTAGGGAAAATAATCTGTCTCCTTCCTCTCCTACTCTCTTCCGCATCCCCCTCCTCTCCAAAAAAGATTAGGAAATTTTTTGCATATGATACTCTGTAGAAGTTTAAAAGGCCTTATCTCTTAGATACTATGCATTCATTTATTCAGCAATAAGTTTGGAGTATCTCCTTTGCAACCCACATTTTTTGGACATACCCTGGGGAAAAGGACAGGTATGGCTCCTGCTCTCCTAGAGTTTGCTATCTACCTGGATATTAGTAGAAATTGTTTTTCATATGAGCAGACATTAAGTGCCAGTCATTGTGCTAAGTTAGTGGTTCTCAAACTTAAGTGTGAATCATGATCACCATTTCCAAAATGCACATTGTCGGACCTCTACTCCAGTTTGTGATTCAGTGGATTGGAGACTGGGCAGGGGGGTGGGGGTGGGTGAGAATGTATATTTCTATTATGATTCCAGGTGCTGTTTCTGTTGCTGTTGTTGGGCCTTCCCTTTGGGATCCATTCTGCCAAGCCTGTCACATTCATTTACTCAAGTCTTATCGATATTTAGTATCATTTGGGATGGTGGCAGGTGCACAGGCTGAGATCTTCCTCCAAAATAAGTTTTTGTTTGTTGGTTTGTTTTTAGAGAAAATTTGATTTTGCCTTTAAGACTCTTTAAGAAAAATTATTTAATGTATATCTGATCATTTCATAAGATTAAAGAGCTGGTGCAATAACAGATGAAGGAACAGGGAGGTTTTTACTTAACAATTGTTACCTGTTTGTCATTTTCTCTTTGAAGATCTTGATACAGAGCAATAGTTCTCAAAGTGCATTGCCAGAACAGCAACATCATTAGAAATGCAGGATCCCAGGCCCCATCCCCCCACCTACTGACTCATAAATGCTAAGTATAGGAGCCAGGAATCTGTTTTAACAAGCCTCCTAGGCGATTCTGATGCACACTCAAATTTGAGCACATCTAAGATAGAGGGGAGTGAGAATTGGGCTGAGTTGGAAGAAGGCCTCTGGCGTTCAATATTCTCAGCTCCCTTAAGACAATTTGCCAGGATGACTAAGCTACAATTTTTTTCTTTCTCATAAGTCAAAACTCTATCCTTTGTTGCCTAATATCTTTTAGAATTACTGGGAATGCAGTCACAACTTCAATCTGAAATAGCTTCACTAGCAAAGATGAAAATTCCTAGCTAATCATAATAGCACTGATTCAGTGACAGAAACAAAGGATTCAGATGATTTGCATTCTAATCTCTTGTCTACCATGCATGCAGCTGTGGTTTGTTATTAACCTCACTTTTCTTGTATGGAAAATGGTCAGAAAATAAATGTTATTGGTCTAACTTGAAGAGTCCTTGCAAAGATCAAATGGAATAATAGATATGAATGTGCTTATGAAAGTATGCACTGCTGTGCAAACACAAAAATTTTAAATTTGAGCTGCTCACACTTATCTCTGTGCTTCCCTATTAATAAAATTGGAATAGTCTTGTTACTCAAAACTCCATGGAGATTGTGATTTAGACAGCTATTAGCACAATTTGAGCTCTTCTAAAGTATAATCTGTGGTTCATGTTTTGTCTTTAACAAACAAAGGTTGGAAGATGTGGAAATAGTATAGAATATTCTGTACTTTATTATGGTGTTTCTATATAATATATGCTAGTACTTTTCTTTGAAGTGGTCATATTCTAGATCAATGGTTCTCAGAATGTGGCCCCTGGACCAGCATCATCAGCATCACCTGAGAACTTGTTAGATATGCAAATTCTCAGTTACCACCCCAGACCTACCAAATCAGCTGTTTGGGGAGTGGGGCCAAGCATTATGTGCACTACAGGCTCTGCAGGTGGTCCTGATGCTCAGTCTAGGCTTAGAGGAAGAGATTTATGTGTGTCTTTATTGAAGGGTTTGACAAAGGCCACCCTTTTCTCCAGCTGGGATATGCAGCATCTTTGTCCAAACTCAGACAGTAACTATTGGATTCCTTCATAACCACACTCTGTCACTGCCCACCCAGTGCAGGAAATCTGGAATGCTACTGCAGTGTGTCTGTTATGAGACTGACTTCAGRGCGTGAGGAAATTAAAGTTATTTATCACAGCCCATTTTCTCCTCTGTGACAGGGGAAATGAGGCTTAGCCTAACAAGGCTTCAAATTGGGCTCAGGCACAAACAACACACAGCTTGACAAACACAGTTTAAGCAGGCTTACATTTCTTTGACTTCCCCTTTGAAACTGAGCCCTTTCTTAAGCAGCACAAAGGTATGTTGAGCTTACTTAAAAAGTGCTGGAGATGGAATCATCCCAGTCTGATCTTGTTTTGAATAACCATTTTATACTTGTTATGTATTTGTGATTATCTAATTTCATATTTCTTCCTGGTGTGGGTATTAACTGGAAAAAGTACCATGGTTCCCATTCTACTTCCAACCATAGCTAACATTTATTGGGTACATCCCATAGTGTGGTGAATAGTGCACAATTCTGTGAGATGTATATTATCATCTCTATTTTATAAATGAAGAATCTGAACTGCTGAAAGTTTAATTAATGCCCAATGTTATGAAGCTATTTTTAAGTCCTGATTCAGTGCAGGTCTTTTTGATGCCCAAGCCAGCATTCTAAACCAAATTGTGGATTGAGAAGTTACATTAGGGAGTAACAAATAACATTTTTAAAGAATTGAATAGAAAGGAAAACACTAGAATGTAGCACATGTAGTTTGGATAGTAGGTCTTGATGCATGAAACTTTTGTTTTAATTCCAAAGATGCATGTATATACACACATATAAGTATGTTGCTGTATACTGGGAACAATATAGAATATATTTTTTTCTGTATCATACTCACATTTGAAAGCAAAGTTGGGGTTGGAAGGAACAAATAGAAAGAGAAAAAATGAGCAAGAGGGAAAAGTATGAAAGAGTAAATGAATGACTAACTATAAAAGAGACACAAGACTGAAGGAGGAACAGTAGAAGGGAACAGAAGGGAAAGGATGGCAACTCTGTAAAAGAGACATAGAGATTTGGGTAAAGTCTAGGGAGGAGGAGGTCATATGGAAGTCACATGACTCCGTCCACCATTCCATTTAGCATATGCTCCTACTTGATGGCAAAACAGAGCTCTCTTGTTGGATTTTAGCTTTCATATACTTCTCATGCTGTTATTCCTATTCTGAATGCAAGTTGAATATTTTTATAAAGTGTGATTCCTATATCTAAATCATCTATCTCATCTGGCTCTCAACACAAAATCAGTGGTCTTAAGGGGAAACAGGTTTTGTTGAAATCAATGAATGTGTAAGATCCTCAATGTGCCCCTTGCAAAGTTGGCAAAGGCAATTTTGAGTAATGTAATTTTTTGTCTTTTTAGCAGACTAAGTTTGATTCCACTGCATAACCTCTTGTGTTTTAGTGGTAAAACACAGATAACAAATAGATATTAAAGTCTTTTCTTGCCAGGAAACTCTACATCCATTAAGAATTTTACTTTCAAAGGATTCTGGAGTTGATTAATAAAAAAAAAAACATTTTCACACTTGTGGAAATTGAGTGAATATTTGTATGAAGCTTCCATACATACAGATACTTTCAAAAGCATCTTATTATTGAATCTTCATAACTACTTAGGTAGATTGCCCTCATGTAAATTTTACTGAGAAACTGGAGCTCAATAAATTTAAATACCTTGCCCAGATTTTTCTATAGAAGGAGATAAAGATAGATTCAAACCTTAATTCTTAGACTCTGAATGTTTTTTCCACTAGACAAAAAGAATAAAAAATGGATTGAAAAACATTTGTTGTGTCACAATTTAGAAGAACAATTTTGTTTTTAAGAGTGTGGTGGAAAATCTAAAATGCCCACTCTTTTACTCTGGTAGCATATCATTATGTAATTTCTTCCACTCCCACCCCAAAGATATTTCTCTATTTCTAGGCTCCCATTAGCAAATTAGAGTTGATATTGCTATACTTTCTTGTGATCCATCCTTGGCCTTTCTTGGTTGAAGATTAYTGAAAGTACCAATTCTCTTGCAGTGGCTAACAATGTTGTATCTAGTAATAGGTTATTGGCATCAACTAAAGTGGGTATTCTTTCCTTTTTATTTTTCCTTTTTTAAAAAATAGATGTTGTTGTCAGTGTAAATAGGACTCACCAGAGTGAATTACATTTTAAAAGCCTTCATAGCCTGTTAGAAAACAATTGTGATATTTTTCCCAGCTTGCCAAAATACCATTGCTATATATCCTGTCCATCTTATTTGGCCCCACTACTAATATTTTATTTAAGAAAGAAACTTCCAGAAAAATGCTAACCGTTTCATTCCAACTATCTCTGCTAAAAACTTTGTGTGTTGTGTGATAAGACCTTTTCACCAGTGTATTTTGTTCTTATTTTTCTCCTAAATCCCCTCATTTTTAATAAGGATTCATGCTCCATTTCTTCTTGTTTTATGGACTTCATCTCCTACCTTCTAAAGGTAGCTGTAAATGAAAGTATCTTTGCTTTCCTCCACTGGTTTCATTTGCTGAGTGTTTACTATATTAAATAATATATTTTAAGAAGCTMAGATTCATCCCTACACTCCATAACAGCCTTTTCAGCCCAATTAAAATATATATCTCTGGGACAACATGGGGGATCCTAGCCTCATTACAATTTTACTAACTGATTGTTGTTTATTTCAGAAATCCCTGAAGACCCTCTTGTGGCTGAAGAGTATTATACCGATGTGTTTGATTCCTGCTCTGAAGATAGTGAGGAGCAAGAAGAAGAAATAGTGTTCTCAGGACTGGAGGGAGAGGTCAAGGAAGAGGGACCCCAACCAGCTTACAGAACAAACCAACAGGTACCTGCCTCTCCAGTCAGAAGTAGTGGAATTGTCTGAGGTACTGACTAGACATCTCAGAAAGATTGAAGGAAGTCTTAAAACCTGAAGTGGACGACAAGAGCACTAGAATATTTTTATGATGGCTCCATGTATAAACCTTCCAAGGGCAGGGGCAGGTAGGATTTTAAGAATCTGCTCTGGGCCAAGTTGACAAGGGAAGGATCATACATAGCATTTATTGGAGGAGCAAGGGGATGGTGCACAGTTCATTGTTTGCACACCAACAAGTGCCTCAGATGCAACTATTGAATGAATAAACAATGCATATGTCTGTTTAGAAGGGACAATAGATTTTAATATAGTTTTCTGCCTGGTAATCAAATTTGGAGTCTTCATTTTACAAATTTAATACAAATACATATTTGTAAAGACTGACTTTGTTCTGGACATAACAGATGATATTTCTAGCTACTTTCAGCTTCTGAGGGCCCATTCTTACATACACTGCTGAGTCTTTCTAAGTGTATACCCTCATAATAGAGCTCTTTAATTGTGGCACGACTAAGCCTGATGTGAGTAATAGGCCAAGAAATGGTCCTGATGTCTGTTTTCTCTGTTGAGTGTCTATAGGAGAGTTAAGCAAGAGGTATGTGAAAAGAAAGCAGATGCCTATGGGAAATTTATGAACATGTACCTCATTTTCTTCTTAAACCATAAGCCTGGCAATCCTTCCAATCCTATGCTACCATGATGTACAAAAGCTTTTTATTAACTAGAAACTATTCAGCTACTAAAATAAAAGTCAATCAGGGATACCTGAGACAATGGAAACTTAATTTGGGGAGATGATTTTTGTAGTGTATAAACTACATAAGGTTGTACATAAACCATTCAACCACTTTTTAATGAAAACTGAGCAATCGATCATAATATCCAATAAAACCAACAAAAGATGTTTCTCAAGTTCTATATAAGAGAAAGAGAGAAAAGAAGGGAGAAAGGAACTAGTAGGGAATAGGTGTAAGACCAAGCAGAGAAAGAAATGAGAGAAATAGAAAAAAAGAGAAAGGATGAAAGAATTTAAGAGACAAATACTTGAGGCGATGAACAAATAAATTATTGACAAAAATACAGAAGAAAGTGGGGTAAGATTCAGAATGCCAAAATACAAACTTTCCTTTTAGCATTTCCCATCTTTTCCAGTGACTGTGGGAGAGAAAAAACAAACCAGAGCCTACTACTCTAAATTGAAAATATAATTTCCATTTACTTCTGTACCATTGTTATAAACAACTGAAACAAATGTTATTCCAATATTATAGAAACTTTATTCTGAGCCTGTTGTTGCAAAATATGATATGCAAAATTCATACTCAATATTTTGCTCTTAGAGCCTCAATTTTTTAATAAAATAAGTCAACTCAGAAAATTACAGGAATAAAATACACTGCAGACACCACCTAGGTCAAGAAATAAAGCTCTGAAAGCTTTATCTTTTCCATTGTTGCCAGGACTTAGGGTTGGAAATCAGATTTCTTATATCTAATTGAATCTAGCCTTTCTCACTTTTGGATCACATGCAAGTTACTAAACTTCACTATGTCTCTGGTTTCTAATCTGTAAAATGGGAGAAAAATGGTTCCTCCTCATAGAATGGGATTTTTATGTTGTTGTTTGTTTTTGGTCCCAGGGATTGAACCCAAGGGTGCTTAACCACTGAGCCACATCTCCAACACTTTTAAAATATTTTTTTTAGAGACAGGGTCTCACTGAGTTGCTAAGTGCCTCACTAAGTTGCTGAGGCTGGATTTGTACTGCCAATACTCCTCATTCAGCCCCCTGAGCCTCTGGGATTACAGGCATACCACAGCTTCCAGCTCCATAGAGTGGTTTTAAGATTAAATGAAATAATTAATATAAAATATATATTATAGATCCCAGAATGTAATTATGTACTTAATAAATATGCAGTAACTTAGCTATTATTGTGAAGTTACCCAGCCATCCTGTGGCCTTTTTATGATACCAATAAAACTCTTTAAAGTGAGATTTTACAATTGTAGATGAACACAATACCTTTATTTTGTTTATTTATTTTTTTATGTGATGCCAAGGATTGAATCCAGTGCCTTATACATGCTAGGTGAGTGCTCTACCACTGGGCCACAACCCCAGCCTCACAATTGTAGTATTTCTTAAATTCCTTCTTCTTATGTCTTAAGGCATGTGCTAAATATGAGAACAGGGATTTTGCTTTCTGGACTATGTTATTTGTCACATGTTATATGACAATTTTTGTTGATTTAAAATAATCAGTTGGGGCAAGGTGCTAAGTCTTCTCACATACATGATGGTGTTTGTCTCACATATTCTATTGGATAGTTATTCTCATTCCTGTTTTCCAGATGAGAAAAGTGTGTTTCTGAGAGAGGAATAACCTGCCAGCAGTCCAGCTAGGGAAGGGTCAGAACCTGCTTCCAGCCTAGGGTAGCCATATTCCTAAACCAGGTGTATCCTACTACACAAGGTATATCCATCTAGCGTGGACTTGGTATAGTGGAAACAGGAGTGGAAATCACTGAATATTGTATTAGATATGGGTAATTACAACCTTATTTTTGTTATTGTTTGTCTCTTCTTCTTCCTCTTCCTCTTCCTCTTCCTCCTCCTCCTCCTCTCCTCCTCCTCTCCTCCTCCTCCTCCTCCTCCTCCTCCTCCTCCTCCCCCCCCCCAGAGGCACTTAACCACTGAGCTATATCCTCACATCGTCAGCCTCTTTTTATTTTGAGACAGGATCTTACTAAGTTACTTAGAGCCTTGTTAAATTGCTGAGGCTGGTCTTGAAYTTGTAATCTTCCAGCCTCAGCCTTAGCATGTGCCACCACACCCAGCTCCCTCCATGGTTTTGTTTGTTTGTTTTGTTTTGTTTAAGAGCTAATTCAATGTAGTTTCTCCATTCCAAAAAGTGGTGGGTGGGAGGATGTCATGGATGTTAGTTCTTCATTTTGATTTAGAAACACATTAATTACACTTCAGCACTCAGTGCAGAGATCCAGACACATCACTTTTTTTAATTATGTGAAACCTATAGCTGCCTCTGACATTTACCTCTTTTTCCTCTTTTCTCCAGTCTTGCCCTTGAGCCCTGAGTATGCTAGGGTCTGTTTGGATGGTCATCATACCTATGTTTTGTTTTGTTTTGTTGCAAATAATCAGAGCAAAGTTAATTACATTTTCTTCTGATGGGAATCATATTTTGAGGGGGAAGTGTTTTCAGAAATATAAACAGCTACAGGCTTCATCATGATTGATTCCTGAGTCTTGGTGCCAACAATGACAATCTTTGCAGCAGTGGCATCTCCAGAGCAGTTTTGTTAAGCACCTAATTGCTGTTGGTTGCCAGTTGTTCCTTTGCTGAGAGAAGCAAAGCATCAATGACACCTTTATCACAAGCCACTATCATATTGTTCATGGCTACTCTGTGAAGTCTGTGTTCACCAAATTGAAATAGCCTCTTAGATCTCAGAATAATAGAGTTTATAGTTGCCATCACAATAGGGTTATACACAGCATTTGTAGGACCTGTCACTGAAACAGAGTTTCATGGGCCCTGATGGGCATGTCTTGGGGCTTCAGGCTGATGAGTGTTTTCATTAGTTCTTCTCTCTTTCCCTTACTGCCTTGCCCATTGTTTCCCCTCTCCAAGACTAATAAATGGCTCAGGTGCACTAGTAATACACATACAAGATGGGCAACACAGAACTCCCTCCACAAAGCCTCTGTTTAATGCAGGCCACATTCAATGAGTCTTGTTTTAAAAAGGCTTTTCAGGACCATGATATTTGTTCCTGCTAAGATGAAGGACTACAGAGGCCCATTTTTTTTCCAGCTAATTCAGAAGTTTTCAAATCTTTCAGTGGTCTGAAAGTCTCTCTGAACACCAAAGCCTTAGGAAAAGAAGAAGTACTCTTCCATTTGAAATGTGGCCACAGAGAGAAAACTGTATACGGAGTAAGTAAGGCTTAAGGTTCCCCTGGGGACCCTTGGATTAGACCATTATGAAGATAGATGCCTCAAGAGTTATTAATGAAGCATTAATCTGATTTTAATTATTGTAACAATAGCAGCTATCATTCCCAGAACCTTCTTTTCATGCTCAGTACTTTATATTCTGAGTCATCTTAGATCCTCTGGGAAGTGGATGATAAGACAGAACTAGAAATGACAGAAAAAAGCCCATGCACGAGGTAGATAGGGAGCATCAAACTGTGCTGAAGGAGGGAAGGAAGGAGGAAGGGAGAAAGGGAGGATGGAAAGAAAAGGAAAGAAGTGAAACAAAGGCAGGAAGGAAAGACTGGGTAAAGGAAGAAAGGAAAAAAGAAGGGAAGGAGCAGGGTAAGAAGGAAAGATTAATTGTGCAAAAACTTTAGATTGAAGTGCAGTCCTAAAAAAGGCTTGGCAAGCTGATACAGGTGGCCTCACAGCGAAGACTTCCATTTGCAGGAGTGCTGCACTGGGGAGGAATGCCCTGGCTCTAGCATCCCCTCTGCGCTCAGACTGGCAGGGAACCATCTAGGAAGAGCACAACCTCCCGTGGGGCTGGGACTTGTCAGGTCCTTAGGCTCATTGCTGCAGGCTGTCCTTGAAGGAAGTTGTGACACACCTCATAGCCGCCACAGATAAATAATTTAATTCTTRTAATGGACCCTTTGATGTATGTATTCTAGGTGAATTGTATCAAACCAGAATTTAACTAACTGGATTCTAATAAGGGACAGGGTAAGGGAGAAAGTGAGGGTTAGGAGAAAGGAAGGGGCCTGAATTAGGGATTTTAGGCAGTTCTCTCTGATACTTCAGAAGGTGAATATCCCAGAGTGAGATGAGCTGTGAGCTGTAAATCCAGAGTCCTCCTGCTGCATTTCAGTTCCTGTGTGTCTCTCATGTTATGAGTCTCTATTGCTTCAATTGTTGCACTTAGATTTACAGTCTCTTGTAATTTAAAGGTGCGTATTTTTAAA